AGCATTTTTGCTCCAGAGGTCTAATGCTGCCATATGATGTGGATCGATAGTTTCCAAGTGTGTAATTTAGTAAATGAGGATAAAAAAGCTGAAATGCTTAAGGATATGGGGGAATGGATACCTATACCATCTAGCTTAAGTGGAAGAGCAGCTTGCATCCAGGAGAGTGATGAGAATTTGATATTTAAAATAGATTTAAGAATATTTTTTAAATGAACTTCGAGGTCAATTAATATTTCAAGAGACATCATAATTGTTGATGAACTAAAGGCATGTAAAATTTTGGGAATAAATAAAAAAAATTTAAGTAAATAAAAAGTATGATGAGCAGGTAAATGTTTTAAAATATTTTTCATTCTATTGAATTTGGCAAGAAATTTATCTTTGAAATGAAATATAGAACTTTTACCTCCAATGAGTGAACCTAGGTGGGTAAAGCTAGTTTTGGTCACAACTTTCAGGTGGGCAATCCGATTCAAGAGGGAATAAAATTTACATTTATTAGGATTTAGTGACTTTCCAGTTATGGGAGCTAAATTGAATATAATTTTACTAGCTTTCTTTTCCTTATAAATAACTAATTGCCCAGCCCCTTTTAATTTATTTTAAAATTTTCTGCAGATCTTACACATTACACTTTTTAACAACTATATCTACTAATGTATTTTAAAATAATTTTAAGGAAACTATATCTACTAATGTATTTAAATGTTTTCATTTTTTTACGTCAGATATCTGTAAACAACCGGATAATATGTCTAAAATAAAAGGAACGTCATTCACAATGTATTTTTCAAAAAGACTTAATTAACGAACTTGTTTATCTTGAACGAAATCGTTAAGTAATATTTTGCAACAAATGACTGAATTAAATGATATATTAAGAATAATTTATTTAAATTCCATTTACTTTTAAATGCATAAGAAACAAAATTTGGCGACCCTTAAAATAGTCTTAGCTCTTGCGTAGGGTGTGCCTCGATGGATGAACAGATTTCTGTTATTCTCAGTGTGATCTATACTGTTTTCGAGTGCATGGCCTGATATATCACCAATCCTATGTATTCTTAAATTCTATTTTATAGCCTCATTTTGACTTTGAGAAATAATATGCTCGATTTTAACGAGCAGATTTAATATAGTAATTGATTGTTTAATTTAGGTGATAATTTATAACTGAATGATAATAATCTTTAACGAGATTATGTCGAATATCCGGTAACCGTAACATGATTGAAACCAATTCATCTATTGACAGTATATTCCATTAAAATATTGTAATTATCAAAATTAGTTTTGCCCTTAACCTTAATGATTAAATTATATTTGATTCCAGAACTATTAAATAAGTTCTAATTGATTCTATGATGAATATAATAACTACCCTATTGAGTTTTTGCATTCCAATTTCTTCGGGCAAACCTCCTTAGATATTACGTTTTCGATCGAAAATAGAAAAATCTGTACTCTTAGAGGGCTTAAAAAATTATCAAGGATTTGATTTATTTATTTTAATCAAATAATATTTTAAAGAAAAATTTAAATATTTTGGATTAATTTATTTAATCATATAATAATATTTAAAGGTGTATTAAAAAGTTGTAATAATTTGTTATTAATTTAATTAAATAAACAATCTAAATATTTTTCTTATTATGCAAAAATAAAATATTTATTTTATTTCTAAGTTCTTCATTGAAAAATAGGTATTAACCATTTTAAATAAAAAGTTTTGGATGCCGATATATAAAATGTATTGGACTAAGACAATGATAATTTGAATGCCAAAAGCATGGTCAATAAAACACTTTTTCGCGAATCCACATTGACAAATATTATCCCGGGAAGATTGTGATATATGAACAAATTGTATTTTTGTTATAGGATATAATTTACTCAATATTAAATGATTGGTATTATCGTTAATGTATATTCGATTAATATAAATACATATCATTTTTGAAATTGTTTTATCTTTGGAAATTTAAAACTTATTTTGTTAAAATAAAATAATATTTATTTTTATAATCCTTTTATTAAAATCTTATAACGTAGACAATATCGCGAATTTTTTATAGCGAAACCCCTTATCGTGAATACATTAAGCAAAATTTTTGTCGCCAATTAATAATCGAGAAAATTATACAGTGAAGTCATTGTCGCGAAATCCAAATGGCATAAATTATTTGGCGAAATAAATCAATATCGCCATAATCGCTAATAGTGACTATTTTATTTTGGAACATTTATTATTAAGGCCATATAAATCAGTGACCGGTAGAGGTACCATTTACAAGGCCCTGAATTTTTTTTAAAAATTTTCAACCTAGCCCGGTCAGGGTTTTATATTTTCAGGGCCCATTTGGGCATTTAAAAAAATTCTTGGTCCCACCCGACCCGGGCATATTTAAAAAATAGAAATACGGCCTGCGCCACGTACCCAGGCTTAGGGCCTGAAGGTTTCTGATATAAAATTTTAAAAACAGTTTGAAAAATTGATTCAGTGATAGTTTTTAATTATCTTTTGACAAAATATGATTTAGCAATCAATTTTTTTTATTAGCTTTCATTTGATATTACCTATATAAAGCTCTCTCATTCTAAAAAATTACAGGCTGCTACCCTCCTCCTAAAGTATAAATCTCCCCCCCCCCCCCCAAAAAAAAGTATAAATATGTAGAGTAAATAAATTTTTACTTAACCCGCTTTGCTCGGTTTCCAGATACAAAAATTAGAAATCTGCAATGCCAGGCAACAATTTTTGCACTAAAAATTTAATAGGTCCGTTAAATATTACTAAAAGTCCGCTATGAGCGCAATTTTTCTGTATTTCCTGCACATTTTATCTAATTTTTTCCCAATGCTAATTAAGGCTCTAATATCTCTCTTCTATGGCTATCTAATTCTACAACTTTTCTATATTAGAAATCACTGAGTTTGATATCTGTATGTATTTGATCATAATAACTTGTTTAATTTTTTGTTACTACTACATTATTTTAGACAGTTCTTAAAAAACAAAGAAATAAACATATTTGTAATTTATTTTCAAATAGTAAATCAAAATATTAGCTAAATATCCAGAAAAATATATCCAAATTGTAATGCCCGAGCTGGCCTATTAAAATTTTACGAAAACTTAGAAATACTCTGCCTGATTTTTATATAAATTGTCACCTGACCCGTTTTACTTAATTTCCCTGCTTGAAAATATATCATGCATGACTTTCCCAGCCTAGTAGGGTATATTCTTTTGCCCAATTTTAAAATTATCCGGAACAGTTTCTATTTATAATTTTAATTTCTGTTCTTTGTTGATTGATGTTTTAATGAGTCCCTTTTATTATTTATACGAAAAATCTTTAAAAAAATCAACTCATAAAATTTAATAAAAAAAATTACTCAGCAAAATCGTCTCTGATTTTTAAAAATAATTTGGAAAAATCAGTAAAAAAATTTTCAGGTAATGCCCTGGTACGACTTATTTCAAGCCTTTGAACTCAGACAAAATTGTTTTAAGAGTTTGGTGGCGTTGTTTTTCCTATTTTTTATAAAATATGCTATTTTTTGGCAGCAAATTTGTTCCAACTAAAGCCTTTCTCAAGCAATATTCCGATTAATCACAATTGATAGGTTATTACTAGAAATTTGAGGTTTGCAAATAGCAAAATTTTATACCTGGCCTGGTTAAATTTTCATTGGGTCTAGCCAAATTTGTACTGGCCCTGCCTAAATAAAAAATCAGACATTACATGTTCCAACACGAACCATGGACCGGGAATTACTCTAAGGAAAATGACAAATAATTAAATTTAAAAAAAAACAATAATTATTCCAAATAACTGAAATACTCAATCAAATTTTACGTATCAAATAATTCTTTATTAGTATTGGACAAAAATATACATTTACATTCGTTATTAATAGATCTACTAATTCGAAACGTATATTCTACTCATTGAATAGGCCTAAGCTATACAATTGTTTATTCGTAATTTTTTCAATTCAGGGCTGTGAATCAAAACCCTCAATATTTTAGTGAATCTAAAACCTTTTATAAAAATTTAGGTTCAGAGTTAAATTTTTTTTAAAATATTTTAATTTTTATTTAAAAAAATATATTAAAAATAACATAAAAACTATATTAAAATTAAATATAAAAAAAAATATTTAAAATATATAACATAATTATTTTTAAATTTATTGGTGGTGGAATCTTTTATAATATATTTTAGAGTGCTCCATTTTAAGTAAAAATTTTACCATATTTTATAACTTTTTTATAATAATATATATTTTAGAAATATTTATTTTTGTTTGTTGGCTTATTAAATTAAAAGTAAAATCAGAGAAAATAACATAATCACGTAAAATATTATTAATTGTATGCAAGTGCAATGCACAGTCAAAGTTACACATAAAATATTGATATTTTAATTTTAAGATCTCGATTTTGAAAGATACCATAATCCACTTATATTCTAAATTATTTTTATGATAAGCCCCAAATATAATAAAATAATGTTTGTAAAAACTGATGTTTTTGTTATTTTTACTAAATTTTATAAGCCTTTATTTTTCTAGACCACAAACTCTAAACCCATCTGAATCTGTTTCAGAGATATTTCACTGAACAATAACCCAAACTTGAATATTTTTTTAGTAAAGGTTTACAGCCCTGGTAGAAATTTCTGAGATTATTTTATAGAATTATAAAATTAAGGAGGGGGTTTTATCAATTTAAAAGGAATGAAGTTTAATTTTGGTCTAGATATCAATAAAAATGGTTATGAAAACTAATTAATAGGTGGGGAGGCTAATCACCCTGTTTCATTATATAAATATATATGTAATAATTAATAAAAATAACTCAAATCTTAGTTTGGGAGATTTAGAAATTTGCTTCTTCTCATAAAATAAATATAATTTAGTGCTAAATAATTTCTCCTACACATCCCTCTCCTCCAAAAATGAATATAATATATAACTATAAACAGTAATTTGAAAGAAAAATAAGCAAAAGTTAATTTTTTTAAATAAAAACTATAATTTCTTTTAAAAGTGAAAAAAATTACAATTTAAGAAATACAAATACACATAAGCTGCAATAGGTAAACATAAAGATCTCCAATAAAATTTAAGGAAGATCCCAACCGAATAGTGCTCCTTCCCTAAAATCCTGGCTATGCCTATAGAATAACAAAATTGATAGAAAAAGAAAAAATGATTCAAAAGAATAATAAATTTCATTTTTATTCATGTTTAACACAACTGAGGGACTTATTAAATGATGTAAATCAAAAGCCTAATTAATTATAAGTTAAAAAAGAAAGACAAATGAAAATAATGAATTTAAAAATTATTCTTAAATGGTAAAAATATGCATCAAAGTTAAAAAAGAATAGTGAAAAAATTGATTCCCCATAGCATTTAAATGGTTTCAACTTTATAATCATCAATAGTAATTGGTATATTTTTAATCAAATATAAATAACAGTGATATCAAATATGTTTAAATAATAAATATGCTAAAGGTCCTTTTTATATCTTGGATTTGTTATTCGGTATATGATGCTATCTTTACCAGGATCAACATGCCATAAACTTACTACAAGAACATACACAGTCAAAGCCAATATTAAACTTGTCCAAAATATTATATTAAAAATTGCTGAATATTTTTGTGGTGTTGGTTGTGTAAGGGATTTTTTAATATTCATCAATTGCACCTAATTATAAATATAAATGCATTGATGATTATAATAAAGTACATCCTGTGGGGGAATGTTTTCATCTACAACTTCCCTTATTGACCTTTGATGATGATCTGATGTTAATAAAAGAACTAATTCTATAAAATCTGAGGATGAGGAATTCTTCAAATCTTTCTATTTATAATTTAATGTAACATTTATATACTTAAAATACTTGAATATCAATTATATTTTTTAATAAATCTGGTAAATTATCATGCTAAATACCAATTTTAATATATCATATTAAAATAACTACTTTTATGTTATTTTTCCAAACAAAAACAAAGTCACTTTCATTTAATTGATTAATATTTCTAATATTTTTCAAGTTTTCCTTCAAAATTTTTAATTTTTTTTCAATTATTTCCTAAAATAAAAATATATATGAAAATTATTTGAAAATTGCCTTGTTATTGCTTTCTTCATAATCTAAAATATTATGCAAATGATCAATTTCTTGTTTGTATTGAAAGGTTGTATTTATATAAGAAATAGAAAGTGAAATATGACAGGGGTATATAAATGGATATTTAAATTCAACTGCAAGTGGTTCCTAGGATATTTAGCATTGACATATCAGACAAAAATATATTACTTCACAATTGCAATCGTCAAATATTCCATATAAGTTCATTATAAACTTGTTAATATTTTGAATCACATCAATTTTTATATCTAAAAATGTGGGCTTATGAATAACTATGAGATTTGAAGCTTCTGCTATTTTGATAATATAAAAATGAATATAAATAAAATACCAATGTTAGTTAAAAAACTAATAAGCAATAATATCCAAATAGATTGTAATTTAAGTTTAATCATCTTTCATAAATATATACTTTGCCTTATATTTGACATTGAAGGAAAATATTATTAAAAAATTTAAAGTGAAATTAATTTTACTATATTCTATTTCATTATTTATTAAATAAAATCTGCTAATTTAATTTATATTTTATTTATAAAACAAATAGATTTTTGATTAAATATGGACAAAAAAATGAACACATTCGTTGTCTGGCAACCATTATTATTTTATTTATTATTATTAAATGATTTAATATTTATTTTTTTATTAATAATGATTTAATATTTATTTTTTTATTTATCAAAAAAATGGTTTATTTATTAGTTTAGTATTTATTTAAAAAATAAATTTAGTAAATCATAAATATCAGTCAAAAGGAAAACAGCAAACAATGAAAATAATTGCAGTCTTTTTAGTTTTTTAAAAATTATAAAAATTTTTACATTTCTTTTACAAAATTTGAATGAACAACCATAAAGTTTTTATTGTAATAAAATCACAATTCGGAAATTTTCACAATTTTTATTAAGCTTCATTCAGGATATTTTGATCACAAGGTAATATATTTTTCAATATATTTGTATTTTTTTTTTTTAATCTTAACCAACCTTTTTTTTTTATTTGAAGCTGAACGCAAGGTTTATAAACATAATAGCGACAATAAAAATCTTATTTGCCCTTTTTATTTAATACGCATTGATAATTATAAAAAATTGATCAATAAAAAGTTAGGACTTTAGCTTTTACTCTTATTTTATGTTTCAATTCAATAACAATTAAATAAATTTTACAACATTCTAATAATGAAGGATTAGTAACTAATAAGCAATATACGCTTCCGCATAGCTGACCCCACTCAACAAAGAGCTTGGCTCCACAGACCCCATATTATAGATCCTTGGCCGGATTATACATATTTTAGTTTCACACCCTTAAATTAATCACTTTCCTAAAAATTTTCAATTGTATTCATTTTTATGTATGAAAAGGGTGGGGTAGTGTAGGTGAATAATTTATAAAACTTTCAAATTTCACAAGAGGAGGAAAAGCTCCTTCATTTAGTGTTGTTAAACAACTCGTTTTGAGCCAATTTTTTAAAACGGCTAACTCAATATTCATCTAGAATAATATTACGCAAGCCTGAATATGTTTGTAGAAGGAACAGAGGTTTGGACATCTATTAGCTAAACCTCGAGGCTTTGGCAATATTTTTCGTTAGCCGTTTTTAAAAATCGGTTCAAAATGAGCCGTTTAACAACACTACCTCCATTGGCTACACTGGGCCATTCATAATTAATATAAATAAGCATGTGCTTATCCAGTGCCATAGGCAGGGTGGTTTTGGGGTACCTCCCCTCCCCCAATGGAATATGATTAGGTAAAATTTTTGTTTTCTTATTACATTTATATTGAAATAACAAAAATTTGCTTTTATTTCTATTAAATTGATAAAACCCCCTCCTTAAATATCTAGTTCTATATAATGGAAAATTTTTAAAAAAATTTAAAAAACGGGACGCTTCCTTAAGACGCACAAATTCTTATCTACAATTGTATTATTTTTTTAGACAATCTCGCGCTTGAGGATAATAAATCAGTGATAACAACCGTTTTTAATTTTACTATAACCAATCTAGAGGTCTGCAATGGGCGGGTTTTAGTCTACAAACTCGTCCGTATATTTTTAAAAGTTTAACCCGCTCATGGTTTTAAAAATAAATATATCTGCTCGCTCTTTAGTCTAAAATTCTTTACCCGCCCACCCATTATTTATAAAAAATTTTTAACCCATGCCGCCTATATAAAATTTAAATAAGCTCATTCTTTTACATTTTTTAAGCATTAATAAAAATATGATTTAGTTTCAGCACTACATCTCCATTAAAGAGTTTTATAATTTAGGAAATTCCTATATTAAGCATAAAAATTATTCAGCTTAAATTATGGATAAGGAATTTATTTGATCTAATAAAATATTTATGTCAGGGACCTGAGGTACCATTTTTTCAAAAATTTTTTACGGCCCGGCCCAGGATTAAAAATTTTAGGCCCGGCCCCGATATTTAAAAAAAAATTTGGGGGGTCCGGCCTGGATTTTTAAAAAAAAATTTTTTAGGCCTGGCTCGGAATTTTTTAAAATTATATTCGACCTGTTATATACAAAAAATTCATCTATTTGGTATTTTATCATATTTTTAGCGAGTGTTATCATTTAATAAGCAAGCATATCAGCTAATGTTGTTAAACGGCTCGTTCTGAGCCGATTTTTAAAAACGGCTAACTCAATATTTTCGCCAAAAAATATTGACTAAGCCTCGAAATTTCGTTACTATACCTTTGCTCCTTCTATGAGCAAAATTTTCAGGCTTGCATAATATTTCTCTGGATATAAAACTGAGTTAGCCGTTAAAGAATCGGCTCAAAACGAGCCGTTTAACAACACTACACATATTTTATTATTTTTTGTATTCTAAACAGATATTTAGTATATTACAAATTGGTATTGGTACTATAAAAAATTTGTGTAAATAATATTTTGAGAATATACTATATTAATTGTATTTATAAAAAAATAAAACTGATATTTTAATTAAAAGAAATATAACATATATTATATAATAATGTATTTAATCCTTTGCGTATTTATTCCATGGCAGGAAAACTAATTATATTATGTAATAGATAACTATGAGTGTTAGCTGGTGTTAACTTTCACCAAACATTATATTAATCGTAACTATATATAATCATTATAACCATATCTAATTGACGAATATAATAATTCATGTTGTATAAATTTTTTAAAAAAATACGGCCCGGCCCGGGTATTTAAAAAAAAAATTTTCAGGCCCGGCCCGGGTATATTTAAAAAATTTAAAATACGGCTCGGCCCTACTGCCCGGCCGGGCCTGCAGGTCTCTGATTTATGTTATAACATAAAATTAATATTTATTGATACAAAAAACCTTCCAGCAATGCTAATTCCTCTTTACTGGAATTGGCAATAGTTCTAGCTAATCTTGATAGCTTTATAAATCTTTTTCTTGTCGTTTCCATCAAAGTAGGATATCCGGTTGAAGTATATCCTCTACTCAAGTTAGATATATAAATAAAAAGTGAAAGCATTGATAATAAATAAAAAAAGGTAATTTAAAAATTAATTGTTTATAAATTGTAAACTTAAAGTAAACTAAATAGCCTAAAATCTTGCTAAATATACAAAAACTCGTACTTAAATATTTTGTTGCTAGGTAACACTCGCCTCTGTAACAGCCACATCTTCTCATCTGTTGTTTAATTTTGACGTGAATGCTATCTATTTTAAACATTTCATTTAAAATTTAATAATCTTTAATTGAATTCTCTTTGCTTTCTAGGGAAACCTGTAAAATCAGATTTCATGTTTTCGATATATTTTTTACCTAATTAATTTTTTCTGACAACATCCTCAGTTATTGATAATTTGGTATTAAAAATGTTAAAATTTCAGAATCATATTTTTTAACCCTCTCGCTACCCACTTAGATGATCGGGTGTGCGGGCTGGCTAAATACCTGCCCAATGCAGACCTCTAAACGAACCTATCTTCCAAAGATGCCACAAGTCTATTTGACTAATTTTTTATGCCCCTATTAAATATAAAAATGTCAAAGCTACAGCCACAATGAGTCTCATATGAAAGATGATAAAAAAAAATTTATGATGGTAGTAAATTTTTTTTAGATTTGTTTATTTAATTTTTTTATTATAATTGCTTTTGTACTTCTAGAATCTTCCTTCTATCGTGAATCTTATATCAATTTTAGTAATTTTCGTATTTTGCTAATAATACTGTTTACCAAGCGGTTGAAGATTAAACTAAAATATATATACTCTTTGAGCATTACATATTATCCTGAGCTTTGGAGTTGGTGCTTTTAAAAGTTTGGCAAACTTCATGCTTAGGACTGCGTCTTATTATTAGCTTCATATCAAATTTTAGAAAATATAACTCGAAATTTAATGAGATTTGAACTATTTTTCTTCTATCTTTATTAAATTAACTGAAATGAACATACAATTCTTATAAAGATCATAGAATCATAAGATTCAAAAATATTTTGAATCGGGGAATAAGAAACCTTAATGTATTTATACCAGGGCATGCCAGTCAAGTGACCGGCGGAGTATTTGACCTGGTCAAATACGGTCAAATACTCTATAAAATCTGAAGAAGAAAGAAATTATAAATATGTTAGAAAAAAACGGTATAAAATACATTTGATCACAATATTGCTTATTTATTGGGTCCCAAATATTAAGAGGAACATAGTAGTGAATTTAATGAAGTATGTGATATAATAAACGAATTAGGCCTTTTACAAAACGGTGATGATCAAAATATTTTAAATGAATGCATAAATTTCAGAAGTAACAGCATGTTTAATAGCAAATTATGTTGGTAGTAATTTCCATAAGAAACAACCAGATTCTGGCCTCAAGTTAGTGGCATGGCTTTGCTCACCATTCCCATTAATAGAAGCAGCATTTTGATAACAATTACTAGTTCTACTTATTCTTCAGAAAGAAATCGGTCAATTTCGGTTAATATTCTTACTAAAACAGTAATTGATCGAAGATCTATACAACAGGAAAATTGATTAAAAAATATTAAAGAAAATGATAATATTAAATATGAATCAGAACAATGCCACGTAGAACGAAATATTTTTATTTTACTATCATATATAAAATAAATATTGTTTTAAAAAATATTTATCTGAATTTGATTATATTTGACCGATTAAATATCGGTCAATTGGCCTAATCGTATTTGATCGGTCAAATACATCACCTTGTTTAAACATTGATTTTTCAATCCTATTTTAAAATTTGAGATTCAGCCTAAATAACTGTTTTTTATTTATTCACCGGAAAAACTGATTGATAAATTAGCAAGTATCAAGCATGCATTACATATGGTTCTTTGCATAATTTTTTTTCTAAACTTGATTATTAATTTATATTTTATCAGAAAACTGCAGACCCTCACGAGCCGGGCCGTATTTCAATTTTTTAAATATACCCCGGGCCTAAAATAAATACCCTGGCCGGGCCGAATATTTTAAAGCATCATTATTATCTATAAAAATCGAAAATAAATATAATATATTTTAAAAAAATCCGGGTCGGACCTGTAAATATAAAACTGGGACCTGGCTGAATAAAATTTTAAAATCCGAGCCAGGCTGATATTTTATTAAAATCTAGGCCGTGTAAATGGTACCTCTGCAAGCCTCTGTATTTTATGATAATCATTCATACCTTTTATCTCATGTGTATCCCAATTTTCATTTATCACATTCACAGTAGAAGTTAATACGTTACTAATGTATTTTATGAAATAATATCGATTTCAAATATTCCTTGGCGTTAATTTTATCTTAAAAATTTCCCATTTCAAAAAAATGGCATCGATCTAATTAAGACAATGAAAATAGTTTAAAGCATTATATTAGAACTTAAGGGAATTAGGGCAAATATAAATGACCAATTTCATTGATTATATGTCATTGGT